TGTGCGGCTTTGGTGCAGTTTTGTGGAGACCTTGATTATTTTAGCAAGTGGCTGGGAGTGCCAGTCTCCACAAACCACTCAAAGCCATGCTGCCAGTGCAGATGTACATTTGCAGGGCCTTCCAGCTGGATGGACAACAGGTTGAACTCTCCCTGGCAAAGCACAGGCCTGACAGCAAGGAACTGGAAGCAACACTGGCAAAGTTCTTGTCCACTCTTTGATTTGCCAGGGATGACTGCACACAGTGTGGCTCTTGATTTGATGCACAACTTCTTCCTTGGTTGGCTTCAATTTGCTTATGGCAGTGTCTTTTACCTGTTGACCCATGAGTGTTTGGATGATGAGCCACTCCAAAATTTGCTCACAGTGGGCCGCTTCATCAAATCTTTTCAGAAAACTGACAACACACGCCACAAGTACAGGCAAAGGCTCACTAAGCTCACTATGTTTGTCAGGAAATCTGGTTTCCCCAAACTGAAAGGGAGGGCAGCAGATATTATGGGCTTGGACCTGGCCATGAAAAGTTGTTGGGAGGAGTACAAAGACCCAACCAATGAGCACCTGTGGCCCTGTTTAGTATATTTTTCTTTTTGTTTTTCCACAGAACAATGTTACCTTTCTTTAGCAATCTTTTGCCACAAATACCACTCAGGCAACACCAGCTCATCTCTCTCTTCTTGGAGCTGAATGTTGACATTCAAAGCATGTTGAGAGAATATGCTCCCAAGTATGGCTACATGTGTGTGCCTGAACCACAGTACAGCCAACTAGTGACCAAAGGCCTTCAAATGGCACAGGTGCATGTCCAACTGCGTGATTATTTTGCCACTGAGGAGACGCCATTGTTTAATATGACCTCGAAGACACATTTCTGTATACACAGCTTTCTTCTTTCAAACTCGATACACCCCTCAGTCACATGGTGCTTCAAAGGAGAGGAAACAATGAGGGCTGTACAGACCTTGATGAAAAGCTGCCTTGCAGGCAACAAGCACTGGGGGGCAACCAAGGTGGCCAGTCTCAAGTACAGGCACCTGTTGCACCTCAGGAAAAAAAATGCTTAAGTTAGAGGAAGTTTTCTGGAACAGCAGCTGACCAAAAAGTAGCAGCCCAAAACACTGTGTGGCCACATGTTCTTCCAAATGGGAACGTGTTTACCTGAGTATGTCTGCTTTTCAGTTTCACCCAAGTCATTTTTCTTGTGCTTGTCTTTCCTGTGTGCTTATACCTGAGTGTGTGTGTGCTTGTGGTTTTATCCAAATGTCTCTACTTGTGGCTATATGTTTTACAAATTACTTTCTTCAAAAGATGTGTTTTAGATGCAGTTTTGAATATTTGCAAATCAAAAAGTAATGAAAAAATAGGAAAAACCCTTAGTGAAGACCAACCTAAATAAATTTAGGTTGTACCTAAATCAAATTTACATTTACTAACCCATTTACACTTTTTGCCACCTAAATTCATCAATTTACGTAAATCCAATAAAAATGTAAATTTACTAATTTCGGTGACTTAGGGCAAATCAAGACCCGTTTCCACCTCAAATCCCATCTCCTCAGTGCTCACCTCCTCCGGGGTGAGGATGGTCAGGATCAACGTGTTGTCCTCGACATTCTCAATCACCTCCTCCTGGTCCAGAAGTCCGTGGAGGTTCTCACACATCTCATAGAGCTGCCACTGCCCTTTCACTCGCACCAACGTGGTTCTCCTCCAATCTGTAGTCTGGAGCTTCTTGGCCAAGTGCACTCCAATCCATCTATTCTCTTCTTGCTTCCAGCCGACCTGATATCCTGCCTTCATCTGGAGGTCGTCCAAGAGCTTCGCCTCCAGAACTCTCACCATCATCGGGCTTACAGGCTCTTCCACCACCGTACGTAGATGTCCAGTGGCCACCAAACTCCGGTTTTGCAGTTGAAGCGGGATCCTCACAACATTGTGCCCTAGACCAAACGTCATGGAATGTTGGCCCCCATTCAGCTGCCCCGCCTCGATGTCCCAGCCTGCTTCCATCAACTTTCCATATGAAATGATAGGTTGGCTAATCTCATCTGAGAAGTGGGCCTTGTCGAAGATCTGCACTTCCTTGTCGTTGTCTGTTTGGAAGATGAAGCAGACCTGTTTGTATCCGCGCACCTCAATGGGCACTCCTTGAGCGTCCTGCAACTTGGGTGCACCTTCATCCAACTCCGTGCCAATGGCCAAATAGGAGCTCGGCAAAATCGTTGCATCAGCTCCTGAATCGATGATCACTTTCACTTGATCCCCTTCTCTCAAGCAGCTCTGGTGCCTCCTCACAGCCATGATGTGGTAGGACACGTGGTCATGCTCGTCATTGGGCTCATTTTCCTCAGAAATGGAGAAAAACTGTACCATCCTGATCTGCTTGCTGCTCACGCTTGGCGTTGACATAGGCCTCAAGTCAAAGACCATGGGCTCATTCTCGAATTCAAATGGTGAAACCTCTTCAACTCTCTTCACTGCCCCTGGCTTCCAGCTTGTGCCCTGGCTTGATGTGGTAGTGCTCGATGCCACCGTCCCAGTCTCTGCGCTTGGCTTCTGATTAGGGCTCTCTTCACTCACTTGTCGAAGGCGCTGCCAGCAATCCTTGGAAAAGTGTCCTGCTTTCCCACACGTGTAGCAGGTCTTCTGGTCAGCTTTGCCTTTCTGGCCTTTCTGGCCTTCGCCCTTGCCGCTGCCTTTCTGCTGGGACTTGCCTCCAAAGTCTTGGGACTTTCCATGGCTCTTGCCCTTGCCTTTCCCTTTAGGGTCACCTTTGCCTTTGCCCTTCTCGTCAAAGTCCTTGCCTTTGCCCTTGTCGTTGCCTTTTCCTTTGATGCGGTCAATCTCCATAGGAACCACACCATCTGTGTTGTTGGGATCAGCTCCAAGCATCATCACATTCGTCCACTTCATCGTAGCGTTGTCATACTGGATGATGGCTTCTCGGAGCTTCTGATAGTTCTGAGACTCGGCAACGTTCAGCTGGAGCCATGTTTTGAGCTGTCCACCAATGCACCTCATGAGGACGGCAAAGCGGATGTTATCCTCCAGCTTTGAGCCTGTCTTTTCGTATTCCACGAAGGCCTCTTCCAGGCGTAGAACTTGCCCAAGGATGCTGCCTTTTCTCATTTCAAAGGGCTTCCACTCCAAGATCATGGTCAGCAGACCTAGTGCTCGATTCTTGGAGGTGGGCTCGAGGCTTTGGACCAAGAGGCGATATGCTTCCATGCCGTTGGATTCTTTCACCTGGTGGATCACGGCGAGGGGACGTTGCTTCACCAGGGAGGCCAACAACGAGTACAAGAATTTGCTTCGTTGTTTTTTGATTGGATCATCTGGCCTTGCCCTGATATCTTTGAAATCTTCTGTGAACATGCCGTTCAGGGAGGACAGGTATTGCTCAAGGCCCCAACTGAAATCTCGCCATTGAGCGAGCTCCTCTTCTCTATTCTTTGCATCCAGCTGCGAGGGCTTTGGCAAAACCTTGAACCAGGATTCTTCACCTGCCTGTCGTCGATTGAGGGCTTCCGCGGCCGATTGAGCGGCCAAGGCAGCTGCTTCAGCAGCTTGGATCATCCTCATCGCTATTTCTTGTCCTTCTCCTCCTACCGCCACCGAAGAGGGTGAAGCTCCAGCTTCTCCAAGCCCTGCCATGGCCACCGGCCTTGACCTCAAGGACCTCCTTCGACCGCTCGATGAAGTCCCCCACTAGCAAAGGGCCTATGGCGCCCAAACTAAGGAGCCTCCACCAATCCCTACGGGATTGGCTTCTCAGGCTCCGCTACCATGCGAAGCTTTTCTAGCTCGGGCAAACTTGCGGTCTCATGTACAAGCTTCTTGATTTGCGCGTGTCATCTTAGATGATCACTGGATGTATGCTATGCTGTGCATGAGTGCTTTCCATAATGATTTGCAGAATGAGAATGAGAATGAAATGCAAGCAAATGCAAGCAAATAAAATAAGTCAAAACATGCAAGCGGAAGTAGTCCAGGAACCCATCCCATGGGAGCACAACGTCGGTCTCACCGTAAACCAGGTGACGTCCAAACGAAAGTAATCATGCTATAAACTGACTTCGCAAGCACGCTACACGCGGCCGTGTTGGCTTCGCTACATGCGTTTTGTAAGGATGGCAGTCCCGGATGGAAAGGATGTGGCCGTTTTCGTCGTTTGGAAATCAGTGTCTTTCACTTCCTTCAGGGTTCACCAACGACACCGCTGTCCATGGCGCTTTGAAAGGCAACGGTCTATTCTGAAATCAGTGATGTGAGATCGCAGTCAGTGATTCAAACATCACTGCATCCTTGCGTGAAGATGCGCCATATTTCTCTCTCTGTGAGAGCTTGTTTTGACAGCCCATTTCGGCTATCATTTCGGTGTTTCTTCACAACGTGGAGTCATTCTCGACAAGACTATTCTCCAATCGGGTAGCAAACGAACGTCCAAATGCGCTGAAGCAGAGATGCGAAACAACATACCTCACAAGCATATGTCAGAAACAGTTTTTTTGAGCCCATTCCGCCATTCCTATTAGGTTGGAAGCCATTGCTTCTAGATTGGACTCGTTTGGATGCTCGGTTTTGCTTTGCATGTTACATTGCTTCGCAGTTTCCTTCGCGTAGCGGCACATTCGTGCTTCGGTCACTCCCCTGCGCCAGAACTTGGTACACCACCCCCAAAATATGCCGAAACATTCAGCAGCGAAGTTGTGCACACATTGTGTGAAGCATTCATCATCTTCCAGTGCAAAAATCGCAACATGGAGGTACAAACAGCGAAGACGGTGCAAGCAGAATAGCCAAGATCCACATGCTGAAAAACATACATCGCCGACATCTCCAGCATGTTCTGTGTGTTGTTGATTTGCCGCTGAGATGACACGCCTATGAACAGGATCTATCACGATGCTTTTAACAATGACTACGCGCTCGGTTTTATTGGCATTCAAAGAAAACGCAGCGCAGCACTCAGCGCTTAAACCGTGGTGCAATGCCGGAGCCTGGAGCTGCTTGCGCAAGGCTTCGCACAGAGCTTGATGCAACAGGCCATGGCCCATCGCTTCCTGAACATGCTTCCAACATTGCTACCACATTGCTAACATGTTTCCAGAGCAGGTTCATTGATTGATTCCTTAGTCGCTAGTTTATGCAACCCATTCAGTATCCTGGAGATGATGAAACCGAATGTTATCATCCTTCCATGTCTTTCCTCTTTCCGAGTGATAGTCAAATCCTCAGGGTACTTAGAGACGTAAATGTCCTTGGCATCAGTCGACAAGCGCAAATGCAGCTTTGCCAGCCCCAAAATGCGGTGACAAAGCAGCCACGCAGGCCTCCAAAACGCGCCCAAGTGAAAGACATTCTTAAAAATCGCCAAAACGTTTCGTGTTGTCAGTTTCTACTTCTCATGCATGTACAACGCTTTGCAGCTTTGTATGCCGCAAAAAAGATCACGCAGTTGATCGCTGTTTCGGACAGGACAGCACTCCAGACCCAGCTCCGCCCAGCTCTACCCCACTAAAACACGGTTTCGCTTCGGCGTCTCGGCATCATGTCAAAAACTCGGCATCATGTCGCAAGCCCATGTCACTAGTCACCGGATTGCCTGGTCAGCAACACAGCAGGATCAACTTCGCAGCTGGAGTCGAAGCAGTCGCTGCTAACCCCCTTGTCGGCCAAACACGAATCAAATCCGAGATTTGAACCGTTTGTCCAAACAGTTCACTGTTGGGGTTCTGTGCTACATGTGTACGCCTCAGTCTGGACTAGTGTCTGCCTTCTGGCAACTGCGAAATGTGTGCCACTATGTGTGCCCTTCCAAGTGCTTAGTGTTTTCAGTTCTTTGCATTTCTCCTCTGGGCTACGTCCGCCTTCTGGCGGGCGGAGAAACGGAATAACTAAGGGAAAAGTTTGCTCCCTTCTAGGAAACTTCCCCCACCTTGAAGAAGCGTTCGCACTAATGATTTGGTTCCTAGATTGTTAGGGAAACTCAATGCAAAGCAAAGAAATCATCCTTTTCAAAAAGGACATGTCTTGCCTGCAAAGCGAAAAGCAAATCCCGAACGATTTTTGCCTGGCTGGCAAAAAGGAGTTCCTTTCATCTTGAAAAGCGGTGAAACTTTAAGAACACAAGAAGGCCTCAGAGATCTCTTTCTGGTTTGCCAAACTGGCCAAGTGCCATCCACCACGCACCTGACAAGTTCAGTGCGAAGCAAACTTCACGTGGGACCACAACCAGATTGAAACACCACAACCAGCCCTTAGGTTGGAGGCCATCGCTACTACGGTGGAGGCCATCGCTAGTAGGTTGGAGGCTACAATGTGGACCAACAACGTGGACCCACATTGCATACTAACCGCAGTGGACTCTAATCCAAATATCTACACTGGGGGTTAGAAGAAGCAAAGTGCGACTTTCATCATTTCCAATTTCAAAGGCAAAATGGACAGAAATGGACACAACCATAGTTTGCCAGCATCTAGTTGGTCTGTTGACTGCCCTTTCCGACGTGAATCTTGGAACCGCCTCCTTCAACGTTGGCCTGGACAACACGACAAGAAATGCACACAAATGACAATGACAACAAAAATATCCTTCCAAAAGGTCCTTCCCTTTTAAACCGTCACAAAAAGGGCGCATATTTGCATGCAGGGGTACATGGCTCAGTGGAGGCAAACAGAACGGCCTGGAGACGTCTTCGACCACACCTGAAAATGGCAATCTCTTTCTTCACGAACTTTCTGAAACACCAGTAGCTAAAAGCGAACAGTGCATCTACTATTACTAGCTAAAAGCGAACAAGTGCTCACCTCGATCTCCACCTCGTAGATGAAACAGCAGTGCCAAGACCGGCCTGGTAACGCAGTCCCCGCATTTCCGAAACCGCCGACTGTGTTGTTTCAGAGGAACGGTGTCGTTGTCATTTCCGTACAGTACGCAATGTCTTGAAGCAAAGTACTTTGTGTGTCTTTAATTGGTCAGATCTACCTTCACAAATAGTTTTCCATGTTATTTTTCTCAAAGGTTTCTCTTGGTGTTTCATCGTGCTTTGCTTTAGTAGTTGGTGGTTTTACTTAAAAACAAATATATGTTTCAAACATAACCTGTGACGACTTGTTCACTTGATGAATGAAGTCTTGTTACAAGTTCGGACTCAATCTTGTTTGGCAGCTGTTGTGAATCTTCGTGGTTTACCTGTGCAGTCATGAACCCTTGTTGGGACTTGTTTGTGTTTACTTGAGGCATGAAGTGTGACTACTTGTGAGAAGCTTTCAGGTTCATTGTTGTTTGTGACAAAAGGTGATATCAAGTGATATCAACCAAGTCGAGTCGTGTCTGTCACCTAAGTCCATGCGAGTGCTGTCTTAAATTGAAACGACTCGAAGCAAACGTTGTTTGAATTCATTCTTCGTTCGTGGCGAACCCCAACTGCCCAACCTACCTTGCAGCTGAATGATGGAGCCGGCTTCTCAAGCTCTGGAAACGTAAGACGTGCCTCCGAAGCCATGTCTACCAATGAAATATTCAATCATTCAATGACGGAACAAGGACGCTATGTGGCTAGTCACACATGGACAGGATGATTACGTTACGTGTTGCCTTCGTGCGTTGGGCAGGCAACGGGCTTCACAAGTACCAGGGCCGGTATCCGACTGTATCATGAATCTGCCCACGTCTGCCTGTCGTGGCCCCGTTGCCGACCAAGTCCTGTGGGCGTGGTACAACTAGAAACAAGGCACCTTACTAGCTTCTAGCTTCTAATAGCAAACATTGTTACTACTAGTAAGGCACTTGTTACTAGAAGCGATGCCAGGAGCCCCTAGTAGCAAACATTGTTCCTAGTAGCTTATTGTTTCTGTACTTTTAGCAGCTAGGGGCATTATTTTCAATAACTACAGCCAGGGCCAAACGACAAAAGGCCCAAATCCCGGCTTCAGTGGATGCCCACAGGCCGAGATCGACCGCGAGTGTTCCGCACTCCTCTACCTCTGACTCAGAAATCAAGAAAGAAACTCTAAAGGTCTATACTTTTACCCTAGTAGTAGGTTGGAGGCCATCGCTACTAGGGCAAAAGTGGAGGCCATCGCCCATCGCCGCTAGGTTGGAGGCCATCGCTGTGGAGGCCATCGCTAGTAGGTTGGAGGCCATCGCGAGTAGGAGGCCATTGCTACTAGGTTGGAGGCCATCTCTATTACGCTCGCACTCTCTCTCTCTCTCTCTCCTTGCAAATGCTTAACGATGAGCTCGTCTGGAGGCGCCACAGTACCTGGAGATCTCCGAAAAGAACAACTTTTCGACATGTTTCTTCCTGTTACTAGTAGCTTCTTGTTACTACTAGTAAGGCACCTGTTACTACTAGTAAGGCACTTGTTACTAATAGCTTCTTGTTACTACTAGTAAGGCACTTGTTACTAGTAGCGATGCACTTGTTACTACTAGCTTCTTGTTACTACTAGTAAGGCACTTGTTACTAGTAGCGATGCACTTGTTACTACTAGCTTCTTGTTACTACTAGTAAGGCACCTGTTACTACTAGTAAGGCACTTGTTACTAATAGCTTCTTGTTTCTTCCTGTTTCTTCCGTTGGGAAACAAAGACTTCACTTTGTCGGTTGTGCGAACTATACAGCCTATTTGAAGGAGCTCGATGCCTCTCCCAGAGGAACTCAATCTTTGAAATGAACGCAGGAAAGTCCCATGCCTCAGTGAGAACAAAAGAGAAAGGCACAAAGATGTGCCCGTGAGGCCGTTCACATTTGAAGCTATGGCAGTGTGGCCCTCTAAGGGGCCTCGATGGGCCCCTTTTTTGCAACAGGAGTTTCTTTGAACATGCACTGGAAATTGCCAAACTTGCACAGAAGAGCTCTCCTTCGGAAGGAATATGTTCTGACGACTTGCGTGTGACATTCGCCGGACTCACTTGCCTAGTCTGCCGTCGGGTGACTCACTTGAAGCTTTGGCAAATTCGTAGGAAATGGAGAGATTTTAAGTCTCCCCAGCTTTGACATTTCGTGGCTTGAACTTGTTTTCCACTTTCGTCAGTTTTCTGGTCTTGATATCGGCCTGAGTGTTGGTGGTAAGAATAGATCCTGATTGGCATATTGCGTTAGGAATGCTGAAGGTAATGAGTTGGCTCAGCCTGTCCCTATTTTCGCTCAAATCCGTATGATGACTAAGAGTGTTAGGAGCTTCGAGAGGAACCTGGGATCGTCAGTGTTCCCGACTGAACGCTGCGTCGGGGTTGGTGCTTGCTGTCGAGCTTCTGGCATTGTTGCCAGATGTGTTTTTGAAAATGCTGCGGTTTCCTCCTTCCAAACTGTTCTTGCGTACATTTCTGCTAAGGCTAAGGGACCACTTCGCGGTGTCGCTCGTTGTGTTGACACCGGGGTTTTCGAAAAAATACCGCGTGGAAGGCTTTTGACCCTTCACAGGCGCAAGTGCCAAATGCGTTCGTAGTTCCTTCGCTGTGTGTTTGTGCCTCCGCTGTCCTCTAGCCATGCTTGCGAACCCTGTCCTCCTCTTGTCATTCTCAAGCAGCTGGATTCTATTCGACGTTACTACCAACATTGGAATGCAAGGGGTTGACGTGAACAAAAACATTTGGTCGGGTTCAATGCTGGCATAATGGAACTATTCAAATAACATCCAAGGAGACAAGGAACGGAATACGAAAAACGGATCAATGAAAACCAACGATGTTCGTCCGATCGTGCATCGGAGAGCTTTTCCGAATCCTCAGTTGCTGACAGCTTGTGCTCGTCGAGCCTCACGATGCAGAAAACACAATTTTTCCAGAGGGAAAGCGCTCTGATAAGACTAAGGAGCAGCTCTGAAAATAAGCAGCGGGGGAACTGTTTAAACTTAACGGCTAGCAGTTTGCCATGCATGTTCTTTGGAAAAGGACGCGGCCGGCCAGTAAGAAAAACTCTCGTGTTCTTAAACTGTTTCAACGTGGAAACCCGTTTGTAACTACCATGGGCCGAGAACTTGGGCCGAGATATGCCGAGATATTTCATTCTGCAAGACATGGAATCAGCATGGGTGTGGCAGCAATTGACGCACCAATGAATGAGACACACACACACACACACTTGGATAAAGGCCCGCAAGAGCAGTATCAGTTGACGAAGTCCCACTTTACTGCAGGTAGACCTTTACACGCAATTGGACCTTGACTTGAAAGAACTGCACGAGTGCTGGGTCGGAGAAAAGGATTGTCTAACACCAGTTAGAAGGATTAAAATGCAGGTACGTGACCCTGGCGTCCCAGAGTCCTTTCACATCCGATCAGCAGTCTTTGTTAGGCAGCGACTGCTGAAAGCACCGCTGCCCCCCTGCCTGTCGGTTGGAAAATTTCCAGTAACTGAATTAACTTGCACGGAGTGGTGTCCTTTGGTACAGGTGTGGACACACACACACACTTATGGAAATGCGTACGGATGTGAATGCGGTGCCACACGCCAGCCTGAGTTAAAAAAACCTGAGGTACCAGGAGGATAGGTAGGAAGTTAAAGGCCTTCGCTTTTAGATGCTTTTGGTTTGGAGGTCCTTGCAAGGCCGTTGCAGGTCAATGCCTAAGGTTGGAGGCCGTCGCTAGTAGGAGGCCAAAGTGCCAGGTTGGAGGCCAGCGCAACGAGTTTACCGCAAGTACCTGTGCCCACCCCAACTCTGCAGACTGAATAGGAATGCATCCAGTCGAACAGAGCGGACGCGCCGTCCCTAAGGGCCTAAGAGGGCAAGAGAGAAAGGTAGGAGTAAACAAAAGTGAATACTTAGCCCTTGACTGGGGTAGGGAAACGAGCCTCAAGAACAACCTAAAAAAGCCTGAGACAAAGCCCAAGAAACGACCAAAAGCGCAAGAAGAAAAGTGGGGGGCAGGGAAGTGTATGTACATGTGTGTGTGTATGACTACCTAGCACTCTAGAGTTACTGAATACTTAGCCGAATGAATTAGGTGCACTAGTTAGGGAGCGGGGCTTTTGTCTTACACCGCCCGGGTAGAGTAGACTAGAAAAGGGACAACAGAGGGAAAGGCACCGACACACAAGTGTGCCGAGTACCAGTTCCCTCTGTTACCCTAATTAGAGGGAGGGGAAGGGTTGGGGTGTTTGGGGTGGAGAACATGTCGGGGTTTATTCTCCGGCGGGTTGGGAGGGGTATCGTGGGCCCGACGGCATCGTGTTTTGAGAATCCTGAAGTGAGGCCAATTCAGTGAGGAGAAACCAACGCATGGAGGAACAGTGGAATCCGTTACACGGTAGTCTGGAGTGAAAACGGCGCCTCCTTGCGGAGGATCACACCCGGCACCCAAGTGGGACGACTGAGCGAGTCACACTCTGACATTGGCTTTCAGTTACCTCAATTCCCAGGCAAAAATGGCGATGGAACCGAAAGGTGAGAGAGTCGCAATTGTATTGTTTAACAAAAGGTTGTTCGCACATCTGCAGCTCACGAAACGGCGGTTTAAACAGTTATAAAAATTGCAGGTACGTTTACACGGGTCCCAGAGGAGGTCTTCGTTGGCCACCGCTCTTCTGGGACCCCAGTGGCCCCCTGCATTCAAAACTCTTAGTTACAGAGGTTGACACACACACACACACGTGCGCGCGCACACTTGAGATAAAGTACGTACTGACTAAACCACCTAAACGGATCTAAACGGCAGGAAAATATACTCTGGGGTGTTAACGTCCTGAACTCACTCCCCCTAACCCCAGCGCTTTTAAGTGGCTCTGCGGAGCTACCGAACCTGAAGCCCTGTGCAGAACGGTAGTCGCAGTGCAAAACTCTTGGACATCCTTACACTGAATGTGTGCAAGGTACGTGTTCCCAGCACCCTAGGATCGAACCAGCCATGCTCCACACATGAGAAGATCCCAGCCACAAACACACCGAAAAAGCAATATGCCTCGTATTGCCTGGTGAAACGTTCAGAGAAAGTATGAAAACTGGGTTGGCGCTACGTGGGGCGCAAACCTCAGCAATCAGTAAGCCATGCTCAAGGCACGCGAGGGTCGCACGGGCTTTGGGAAACAAAACTGAGATCTTGATCGAGAAGAAGCGACGGGCATGAACCAAATGGGTATCCGTACTTCGGCTGGGCACCTATACAACCGCGTTGGGCGTCGAACTTCGCCTTCGTTACTGGTTTACTGTCGATAGCTTCGCTTCGACCTTGAAGCAAAAGGCACACTGGATAACCTCGCGCAACTTGATGTTGGCTCATGAATCTCTAACGCCTTTTCCTTTCGTTATTCCGGTCGCTTGTCCGACGTGCTTTTCACTTGACTAATGTTTTCATGTTGTCCTGCGCAGCTGCTTCCCACTCAAACCCTTGGGTATGACTGGGCCCAGGCTTCGGCAAAACCCAGCAGAAACAACTCCTTTTCAGACTGTCATTGCAATTGAAATCCGAGTTTGCTGAATTCGACTGTAGCAAACAGAGGCAGCGTGGATCGTCCCATCGAGCTTGCAACACAAGTTCCACAAAAGGAACTGTTCTGGCCTGTGCCCAAGGTTGGTGGAAGCCTAGCCCTCTGACTGAGCCTGTGTCGAGGGGCTATCACTACGCAAGCCACAGCCCTTGAAATAGGAATCCAACCAGTCAGTCTAAACATGCAATTCTAATTTAATTCTATTTATTGTTTCTAATGGCAAACATTGTTACTACTAGTAAGGCACTTGTTACTAGAAGCGATGCACTTGTTCCTAGTAGCGAACCTTGTTACTACCAGTCAGTCGGTCGGGTCTCGATGTTCGAGTGTCCGTTCGACAACCCTTATCGCACGAAAAAAACGTTTCGGTGCCTCTTGGGCGCGCTACTTCATGCTGGGCGCGACGTTCATAGTGCGTGTCCATGTGGACGCACGCACAGATGTGAAAACTTGCCAAGTTGGTTGCGTTTTCGAAACGTGTCGTGGTCCAACGTGTCCAGCTCCTGGAGGCAATGCCGTCAAATCCAAGGCCAATGCGCCTAAAGAGGCTCACTTCAGTTTGGTAGCGATGCCCTTTGCTCCTAGCGAACATTGCTCCTAGTAGTATGGCCAGGAGCGCCTAGTAGCGTCCTTGCTCCTAGTAGCGA